CCCCACCCCCCAGCCACCATTCTTTACGACCCAGTTCACACTCTGGCTGTCTTCTTATACAGGCTTCTCCCCAGCTGTAAGAGCTCTTTCCCTTTCTGATCACGGTGGATCCAGAAGCTCAAGTCTGTCTTAGGCATTTGACATCTCACATGTCATCTGTGTTCATGCCTCAGTTTCCCGACAATGCCCTTGGAAGGCAAGGACTCTTTTTAATAATTTTCCTTTCCAAGCCCTTAATAAAGAGCCTTATACACAGAAAGCACTCGATAAATGTGTTGAATGCATAACTTATGGCTGCACACAGCATATGCTCACTCCTTGGCCTTTTTTCCCTCTCTCTGGATCGTTGCTGTAGGTCGTTAGCTATGAACCCGGTGCAGAGACCCGAGATGTTTATCATCGGTGCCCAGCCTGTGTGCAGCCAGCTTCCTGGGCTCTCCCCTGGCCAGAGAAAGCTGTGCCAATTGTACCAGGAGCACATGGCCTACATAGGGGAGGGAGCAAAGACGGGCATCAAGGAGTGCCAGTACCAGTTCCGGCAGAGGCGATGGAACTGCAGCACCGTGGACAACGCGTCTGTCTTTGGGAGAGTCATGCAGATAGGTAAGAGGCCAGCAAGACAGGGCTTGGCGAAGGGAGCTGTGCTCACCTGGCCTGGGTGCAAGCACGGTCTCTCAGGACTGCTACAGGGAGAGTCTCGGTGGAAGTGGTGTGCAGGGAGAGAGGGAGACACACGCAGGAGGCAGAGGCTCAGGCAACGTCTCAGCATGCAGCTTGGCGCTCAGCTGGCCCTCTGCTTCCAGCTTCACCCTGTGTGGGGCAGCCTGTGTGTGACTCACTGTGGGCAGGGGTCAGAACATCTGAGTTGAGTTAGAGTGCATTAGGAAACCCACCCAGCACCACTGCCCTTTGTCTCAGCACAAGGGCCTCCTTTGAGAGCCTTGGGCAGAGAACTGAAAATTGCAGCCCTCAAGTAGGATTTTTGCCTCTTCCACTTGGACCCTGAGACATAGAAACTTTGAGCCAAATTGGTAATAGCTGTCATTAAATCGACCCTGATCCAGTCCTGGCTTTTTCATTTGAAAGGGGATGTGTGTGAAAGTGGGGGAAGGGTTAGACTGGACAAGAAAGATGGAGGGGGCCACCTCTTCCCGGATTCCTATCCCTTCCCCGCTCCCACCCCTGGTCTAGGATTCTTTGGCTACCTCTTGCTTAGGTGGAGGTGTGATCTGGGTTCTAATTGTTTTAGGTCCTTTTGAAATGCAATCCTCCCCTCCCTGGCAAGAAATTGAGAAATCCGGCCCCATTCTACTGGGTCTTATTCCCAGGGCCATAAAAGGAAGGTGTTAGAGCACTGTGTTCCCTGTCTCACATTCTCCCAGAGCAGCTTCCCAAGTTACCTGAGGCTGGGGCTTTCCCAAAGAATGATTTAGCATGTGAGGGAGTTGTTACGAAGGATGCTTGGACGGCCCCTCCCTGCCCTGATTGCCTTCCCCTCCTGCCCTTGCCCACTATTGAGAAGCATGCACCAGGGGAAAGGACCCTTTGAACCTTGCTTCTCTCTTCCTTCCTTCAGTACCAACTCAAGGTCCATTAAAGGAATGCTCATGTGACAGTCTTCCTGGGCAACTTTCTCAAAAGAATGGACTTGGGGGCTCAGTGGAACTTGTTCGTAATTTATCAGTTCTTCTCAGACACACTTAGTATCTGTCCCTTCTTCCTTGTAAAAGTCTTGGGCAGCAGCACTCCCTGCCCTGGGTTTCAGGTGAGGAAACTAGGGTGGGCCAGGTGTAGACAGAAGCATCTCCCAATCGCTTTAAGGGAACTAATATGTGTTTGGAGCCTAACGTATGCCTGACGTTGGCTAGATCCCTTTCATGTGTTATTTTGTTTGAGTGAAGGCCAAAAAGGGAGGCTTTACTTTAGGAAACAGAGGGATCGTCAGGAATAGAAACTCTCTGGTATAGATTTGCCTGGTGGAGTGGCTTGTGAAAGCAGATCCACCAATCTCTCTGTACCCTATTCTGTTACAAATGGAACCCTTCTCTTTGCCTTATTTTCACCGTTCCTTTTTGTAGCTTCCCTGCAGGCTATGCTACCTGGGAAGCTGTCCTCCATTCCTCCCCCTGGGCCCAGCTAGCTTCTGGTGAGTCCTCTCACTACTATCTTGTGTATGACTTCTGGAAGATTCCTTCCTTCTTTGAAACCTGTGTAAAAGTCCACCACCAGAGGGCAGCAGAGCAGCTCAGAGGGAGCCATTGGCAGTGCACCCGCCTCCGCCCAAGGGAACATGGGGGTACCTTCCTGGTAGTTGGGCTACTATGGAACAGAGAGCATGATATTGTCCTGCTATCTCCTTGTAGGGGGAAGATGCAAAAATCTCTCTCATAGCTCCATGGCTGCTGGTTTATTAGCCTTTATCCTTGAGGTGGTTTGAGTTTCCACTCTGAGTTGTTTCACATATAAAGAGGCCTGCTGTACTGCTTATCCATTGTGAAGCCCCGAGTTATCTCTTTCTTGCTGAGAGTAGTTCTAGTAGCACTGTGCTTACCAGGCTTACCAGAGACCCAAATGCTACCCCAGGAAGGCAGAGCTACCTGCACGCAGTGCCTAGTGATGCCCGCAACCCAAAGAGGTAGACGCAGTGACTGCAAGAGACTGCTAATTCATGCGCAAACAGACTGGGATCCCAGCTACCGTGATAGGCCAGGACCGTCAGGGCACGTAGCGTCTGCAATATTATGCTCAGCTGCAGGTACATTATTTTAAAAGGCAATTCTGAGACAAATGAGTCAGCTCTGAAAAGCATGTTTGCTAAAGAATGGTAGAAGAAATCAGACGTATGTAGCTTGGAAAAGAGGAAACATAAAAGACATAGTAGTTGTTTTAAATACTGAAGGGCTGTCAACTGGAAAAGGGGTTCGACAGTGTGGCTCCAGCAGGTGAAGTTATATGGAGGCATATTTCAGCTTAATCTAATGGTGATTAGAGTCATTTGAAAAAAGATGGACTGGGTTGCCTTGAGAACCCACTCTGCTTCTCTGAGGAATGCTGTAGAAGGATTGCTCACAGTGGCTGGAATGTCGATCTGGGCTGCAGCTTCAGAGGCTCCTTCCTGACCCAGGAAGGGGCTTGAAGCTCCATTTTAGGAGGACTTCTCAGGCATGACTCCCTGAAAGAGGGGCCCAGGCCCTCCTCTCGAAGAGCTTCTTAGCCATCTTAACCATCTTGGGAGCTCACTCCCATCTGACTCTAGACGGGACAGACCTCTGGTCTCTAGCAGTGGTTCGAAACTGACTCAAACGTCAGTCCTGATGGCTAGATCACGAGTGTGACTTCCGCATCATCTGGGTTTTTCTCGTGCTGCTCCTAGTCCACATCTGACCAGAAGCTGACCCCTGGCTAATAGAGAAAAACTGACTTGCCCAGTGTGGTCTGGTTGCAGACTTCACCATGTTGCGCCTAGACAATCAAAAAGTAGGGTGAGGGCCGGCCCCGTGGCTTAGCGGTTAAGTGCGCGCACTCGGCTGCTGGCGGCCCGGGTTCAGATCCCGGGCGCGCACCGACGCACCACTTGTCCGGCCATGCTGAGGCCACGTCCCACATACAGCAACTAGAAGGATGTGCAGCTATACATACAACTATCTACTGGGGCTTTGGGGGGGGGGGGAAAGGAGGAGGATTGGCAATAGATGTTAGCTCAGAGCCGGTCTTCCTCAACAAAAAGAGGAGGATTAGCATGGATGTTAGCTCAGGGCTGATCTTCCTCACAAAAAAAAAGTAGGGTGAGGTGGGAGATGACTCTAGACCTACTGGTGATTGCAGACTGCTTCCCTCTCCACCTGCCAAGACAGGGTTGTGGGGTGTCTACTTCTGACCATGGAGACTCAGGTGAGGAGGAAACGGAGAGCAGAAGATTGCGCCTGGTTTAATAGCTGAGATCAGGATTGAGTCTCAGTTTCCTACTAAGAACCACTCCCTTCCCTCCATACCTGAGTCCATATGAGTATTATTTATTATTTCTTATAAGAGCTTTCTTGAAATATAATTCACATACCATACAATTCACCATTTTAAAGTGTACAGTTCAGTGTATATTCACAAGATTATGCAACTCTCACCACTATCTAACTCCAGAACATTTTCATAACCCTATAAAGAAACTGCATACCCATTAGTAGTCACTCTCCATCTCTCCCCACTCCTCCCCAAACCCTAGGCAACCACTAATCTTTCTGTCTCTATGAATTTTCATATTATGGACATTTCACATAAATGGGAGCATACAATATGTGGCCTTTTGTATCTGGTTCAATACAGATACAAAACGCTAAGTGGTTCACTTAGCGTAATAATTTCAAGGTTTATCATGTTTTGGCATGTACCAGAACTTTACTACTTTTTATGGCTGAATAATATTCCATTGTATGGGTAATACCACTTTTTGTTTGCCCATTGATGGTCAATATGGATTGTTTCCACTTTTTGGCTATTTTAAATAATGCTTCTGTGAACATTCATGTGTAAGTTTTTGTGTGGACATGTGTTTTCATTTATCTTGGATATATTCTTAGGAGTGGAATTGCTGGGTCGTGTGGTAATTCCATGTTTAACCTTCTGAGGAAGCTGCCAGACTGTTCTCCAAAGGGGCTGCACTATTTAGTGTTGCCACCAGCAGGACATGAGGGTTCCAGTTTTTCCATATCCTTACCAACTTGTTATTATCTGCCTTTTCAATTATAGCCATCCTCATGGCTGTGAGGTGGTATCTCATTGTGATTTTAATTTGAATTTCCCTGGTGGCTGAATATTACTTTTTATAAACATTTTTATTGAAGTACAGCACACATCATATGAGTTTTTAAGCAGTTCACTACAGCAATAAAGAGGAACAGAATTTGGATTTTCTACTGGAAATGATCTGGATATTCAGAGAGACCGTGCTGAGTCTCCTGTAGATGTGGTTCCCCCATGCTCTCGGGTTAGGAGGCGGCGTGGACCCTACGGAAGACAGAGGGAGACAGCTTGGATGATTCTAGACGTTGTGATTCTAGTTCACGTTCTGCTCCTGGTCTCTGCCACTGTCTAGCTAGATAATGGAAGCAATAAAAAAGACAGATGTGTGGCTCATGGAGTGGGGAGAAATTGGTATCTGTGAGGGAGAGATTTTTGCTAAGATACAGAGTCCTGGTATTGGTCCCAAGATTTCTACTCAGTCTCATTCTCTTCGTCCCACGTGTTCCATAAATTCCTTAATGCCCACTCTCCCTTCCATTTAGGTCTGCCTCCTAGGAATCTACTGGTCATGTAAACGTCTCTGGAATGGATGCTAGTATAGGCCAGGACTCGAGGGATTCATTCTATTCTGTGTGTTCAGATGGCAGAGGAGGCAAGTTTCAGCTCATTATCAAGAGATGTTTCTAACCATTAGAGCCATGGGCAGTGAAAGGTGCTCCCTCCTGACATTGCTGCGTCTCCCAGGAGTGTCATAGCCCAGGCGATGGTTTTGGGTCCGGAGCAGGCAGAGGGAAAGGAAGGGCCCCGCCAGAGAGTTGACCTCCTTCACAACCACCTCTCTTGCCTTCTCTTGCAGGGAGCCGAGAGACTGCCTTCACCTACGCAGTGAGTGCCGCGGGGGTGGTGAACGCCATCAGCCGGGCTTGCCGCGAGGGTGAGCTCTCCACATGTGGCTGCAGCCGGACAGCACGGCCCAAGGATCTTCCCCGGGACTGGCTGTGGGGTGGCTGTGGGGACAATGTGGAGTACGGCTACCGCTTTGCTAAGGAGTTTGTGGATGCCCGGGAGCGGGAGAAGAACTTTGCCAAGGGGTCTGAGGAGCAGGGCCGAGTGCTCATGAACCTGCAGAACAACGAGGCGGGTCGAAGGGTAAGCTGGAGCTCCCCCACCTCCACACACTGCAGACCAACTGGGCTGTTCCTGGGCTGAGCTGGAGCCGTGGCCTGGCCATCAAGGAAGGGGGTTGGTTTGATTATGGAGATTCTTACCTGCAACTGCCGACCTAGATGCCCACATTATTCAACTAATCCCTTTCAACAACCTCCATTTCCCAAGGGCACTTGTCATTGTGCAGTTGTCATTGTTTTAACTTTATTTATTTCTCCACAGGACATCTGTCCCTACAGGACTTAGGTGCAGTCTTATGATCAGAATTCCAGACATAGGGAGTGGAGTTCTTGTCTTGACTGCCCCTCCTGTCATTTGAACACATGGGAGGATTGGAAGTTTAGGCCATTAGACCTACTCTAGGTTTCTGGTTTGTTGGATGCTCAGGTAAAACCAGAGCTGACTTTTAAGAGCTGCTATCATATGTATCCAGAAACCCAGTCCAAAAGCACTGTTAAGTACTAATGGCAAACATACTTCTGTGCTAGGAATTTTAAATATAAGTGGAAGTGTGAAAGGCAACCATCTTTTGAAGGCTAAGGTAGACAGTCTCACCAATCTCATGCAAGATGTGGCTGTCTCTGAGCCTCAATTTCAGTAGAAACTAAAATGGAGGTTTTGAGGTGAGCTTGGTTTATTGTATGTGCAGAGCATACCTGGGCAACAGCGTCAGGTTTCCTTTATGGTGTGCTGAGGAGCATATGCCTTCTCCATCTGCACCGTGCTCATGAAGACCCCACCTCTGAGCACATGCTCTGGCCTCCTCTTTCCTTGGCTGCCCCGACATGGTCTGGCTCTGCCACAGGAAACTGGAGGGCTCGCCCACTGTATCCATTGTGGAGGGGAGTATGGATGGCCATCCCGGTCCCCCCATAGAGAGGTCTGAAGTCTGAGCGCCAGGTGGTGGCAAAGGGCCAGGGGACCACAGACCTCTCAGGAAACAACACAAACTTCTTTCTGGGAGTGTTGTCCACACTCAGGTCTGTGTCAAGCCACCTGGCTCGGGACCCCAGGCAAGGTACTGTAGTGAGACCAAATACGAACTAATTAACAAGTGAGAACGGCAGTTTCTTGAGAAGAAATAAATTCAGAAATTTAATGTTGGTTCATTGGTGATTCAGTAATAGGATATGGATATATTTCTAAACATGTGTTTATATATCAATTTTTAATAAATTGACTCACGTTTCATAGGAGCACATATCAAATAATGGACTTGGGAATGTCTTTTATATGAATTGGGATCTTGTGATGTTGGCTTGGTAGAACATGGCACACTTGTGTCAACTTAGCATCAAGTAGACGTCAAATGTGATGCCAAGTAGAGATTAGAAGTGGTCATTTGCCCAGTGTCTTCCTTACGTGCCCCATATTCAGAGGCTAGTTTTGTTTAGCCAGATATGGGTATGTGGGGGGTGGTGTTACTCAATGGCAGTGTTGGGAGTTCTGGTCGATGCTCTGACCTGTGGTTTTTATGGTTTAAACCAGGGCAGCAAGACTAGAACTGTCCTGGATGACCTTCCACCCTGAGGGCATCTGTGGAGCTGCCTCAGTCTCCCAGGGCTTCCTCTGTTTGCCTGTCCATTTGCCAGTCTTTGGGTGTCTAACCGTGAGGAATAGGATTGGTGAAAAAGGTTAAGATCTTCACTTTATCTCTAGAATGCCCAAATTCTATCCATTTTTCGAGATCACAATTCAAATACCACCTATTCCTTAAGATCTTTCCCCTCCTCCATAATTAGTAGTCTCTGCATCTGAACTGCGGTGGAGCGTTTTATACTTTTCTTGAGGTATTGCTTACTCCACTTCATCTTATTGGCTGTGAGTTCCTGAGGACAGCGATCAGCCATCTAGCCTCTTTGGAGCAGCTCTTACTGTGCCTTACGTCTGTGGGTTCATGTGAATATGCAGAGAAAAATTCACATATTGCCTCCTAGTAAGAGGTCAAATTCACGCAAGGCTGTTTCCTGTCTCTGCTCAGAGCTATCGTTGGAGCATTGTGGCAGATGTGGAGGTGACTAGGCATTCATCCTAATCTGGGCCCCATTTCAGTCACAGTCTTGACCCCACTTCTGCTGGCTCCTTATTTTACTGCCCTTAATTGTTTGTTTCTTTGTACTGGGCCCTTATCTCGGCCAGCGCCTTCCCTTCCATCTGCCTTTCTCACTTACACACCTTCCCTGTCTTTCTCTGTCTGTCTCCCTGTCTTTGGCCCCCTTCCTCCGTCTCCACACCTCTTCCATAGCCCTTTATCTCTCCCTTTGCCTCTGTCTGCTCCAGATTGGGAATTCTTGTCCCCTTCTATTTTTTATCCTCTCTCCAAGGAACAGGCTTCCGCCATCAATCACCATCTGAGGCTAAAGGTATTCACCTCCCACCTCCTCACACCTACATAAGAAGTTTCTCAGGAAGGACTAAGTGCTGGCAGGGATTGAAAATCCCCTGGACTAGTATTTTACCACCAGATTTTTTTTTTAAAATAGAATATCTAGGATCTGACATCTCGACCACAGAGGAAATCTTGGGCATATTTGCAAGAAATTTCTCCTGGCCTTTAAGAGTCTCAAGTAACTCCGTTTTAGGTATTGATGGCAAGAGCCGTGGGTTGATATTGCCTTGTCACTTAAGGGCTTCTAAGCATCTTCCAGATAAAAGCTGCCTAATTCTTGTGACATTCCTGTCAGTTACCAAGCTCAGTCACACCATTAGATAGATGTAGAAGAGGGACTGGGTGGGGGCGGGGGGGGGGGGGGGGGGGCACAGCCCCGGGGGTGGCTAACTCAGCTGAG